TGTCACCTTGTTATTCATAATGTACCTACACGGATTAGAGGCTAAATTAGAGGGAAGTGGACTTGGCGTCAACCTGTGTTTCTTCAAACAAAGAAAACTCATTGAACAAGCACTACCAGCATTCATGTACGCAGATGATATAGTGCTAATGGCCGACAACAAGGAAGATTTGTAGAGATTGATGGACATCTGCAGTAATGAGGGAGATAGGTTAGATTTCAGATTCAGTAAGGAAAAATCAGCAGTCATGATTTTTAATGATAATGGAGGTAGTGAGATTAAAATACAGAAGGTCACGCTAGAGATAACAGATAAATACAAATATCTGGGCGTATGGATAAGCAATGGGACCGAGTACCTAAGGGAACACGAATATACGTGGCGACTAAATGTAACACGAATGCAGCAGTGATAAAACAATAGGGCGTTGCGAAATTACAATAGGTATGTTGTTGTGAAAGGAATACGGAAAGGGGTCATGGTTCCTGGTCTGACGCTCGGCAATGTGGTCTTGTGCATGAGATCAGAAGTTCAAGCAAGATTAATAATTAAGCAACGTGAATAGTTAGGCTTGCCTTAGGAGCTCACGGGAATACACCAAATCAGGGAGTACAAGTTGACATGGAATGGACGTCAATTAAGGGCAGGAAAGCGAGCAGCAAGATAAACTTTGAGAAGCGTTTGAGAGAAACGGGGGAGGAGCGTTGGGCTAGGAACGTTTTCAGTTGCTTCTACATGTAGAATGTCAATACAAAATGGAGGAAGCGAACCAGAAAATACACTGGTAAACACTTAGAAAACAGCAGGGGCCCAAACCAAAAAGAATCATCGATTAAGAAGAAGGTGAAGGAAGCTGAGACCAATATGTGGAGAATTGGCATGATTAAGAAGTCTGCACTGGAGATCTATCAAACTTTTAAGCAGGAAATTGTTAAGGAACGGATCTATGATTATCCTCGGGGTAGTTCTCTACTGTTTGAGGCCAGGACGGGAGTATTACGAACCAAGACATATCGGGCCAAATAAGAAGGGATAGACACGGTATGCAGTGCGTGTGGAGAGGAGGAGGAAACTGCCGAACTCTTCATAATGTTCTGTAAAGGGCTTCACCCTATAGTTCAGGATGATGGCGCAGAGTTTTTCAAAGCGCTGGGGTTTAAGGACAGGGAGGGCAAAATAGACTTTAAGCGGGTAGAATTAACTAGAAGCACAATGTGAATTCTCAAATGAAGTTTTCAATCAATCAATCCATCAATCAATCAATCAATCAATCCTATTGTACTCTGCTACTTCGCTGAGGCACTAAAAAATTGAGGTGGCGCTGGTCAGTCCCATCGTGACCGCCAAGCGGTCGTCGAGCGTTTTAGTGTTTGTGCGCGCATCGAGTGTGCGCTTTGTCTATCGGCTCCGTACATTGGCGAAGTGTTCGAAAGTATATTTCGTATTGACAGTTGTGCGCAACATAGACGGGGTGTAGTGCATGTATACTTCCGACTGGTATATACCACCCACATTATTTATGCCAATGTGAAAAGGAAATTTCATTGAAAAGCAACATAGAATATAACTGCTATGTAGATTCTTCAGGGCTTTCTCAGTGCGTTTGAATAATTATGCGTGCGGCAAGCCACGCGCACCAGAACGCATCGCGCCGTATTTTGCTCCTGCTCATGCGACGAATGGCTTCACTGCACAGCCATTGAACATAATGCCGCACCTATGCGCAAGTCTGCTCCCGTAGGGAGCATATACAGTAATTTTAGTCTATACACCAATTCCGAACACCTGGCGTTTCTTGGCATCCGACTTGCCCTGTACCACTCCGCCGTGTGTGCATATATGCATATATGCTTGCTAAGTATAGCGCTGCAATGCGTGGGTGAACGTTGATTTTTGTCAGTAATGATTTTCGCACCGACCGGAACCTTGATCATTTGGTTGCGAGCAGCACTGGCAACGTTTGAATTTTGATCACCCCGTTTGAGAATAGTGGATTTAAATCAGAAGTCTCCTGCGGGAGTGTTGTTCACTTCCGCAGTGGTTTGCGTAAGGTGCATAATGTTTTCAAAGGATGCTGCTAAAAAAATAATTGCTCCCCACCAGCTCTATCGAAGCTCAAATGCAAGGACAAACTTCAAGCCCACCTACAAATTTCACAGGGTGGAACATGGATGTAGACGAAAAAGTTTTTTTTTTTTCGCCGATACTTCAGTATGACCAGAGTCCTTTAATATTTTGGCCGTGAAGCTTTGCCGTAGCTATATGGGAGATATTTGTGCACTTGGGCCATGCTGCATCACCACGCGGGGCAACGGGCAGACCGGAGGGAAGCTGGCTGTTGGTGCCGCTAAGGGGTCAATGCATAGTATCGTGGCGTGCCATCGTGTATTTTTTCACCGTATGATCACTATTGTGCCTATAGTGGGCTGTGCCTGAAGATAGGAAAGAATACTAAAAAAATACTGTGTATCTTTTAGTTGTCGAATTGGTTACGAGAGAAAAAGTCTCCGAGTTCTCGCTGCATGCCTACAGTCAGTGAAGGGCGGGAAAAGCCGAAGCGTGCTGGTGGTTTCACGTTTGTTTATGTGCGCTCCGATGAGAGTTCGCATAGACCAGTGGCTAATCAGAGGCGTTGTTAGTCAAGTGACCGCGCGACGTTCCCAAACTTTTGCCGACGTTGTGCTGAGGATTTTGCACGGCCTCATGGCGTATTTGTAGAGCGCAAAAAGATGGAGAGCTCGCCCGCCTACCAAGCGTGGACGGGAACCGTCAGCGAGGTGGAGACTATGGCGGCTGCATCGGACTGTGCACGAGCCCTCATGACATAGCTGCAATGAATAATGGCGCATTTAATGAAGGTATAATCATACCAGCCACTTCATGATCATTTTATGCCAGTGGGTAATATAGAAGCCCGATTAGGGAAATGATCATCGTTTTCGTTTACACAGGCACTAAAATTAGCAAAAATGTAGAGGTGATATGCCGAGCAGGCGAAGCTACATGCGGCTCCTCACAGCTTGAAAAAATCAAACCGCGCATGTATTGCATGCTACCAATAGATATTTGCTAGGGTGATGGCGCAAGAGTGGTTGTACCACAATGCTGTATAGAACTTGAGAAAGCTGTAAATATGTGTAAAGCTATTTTTCGATATCAATGCGTCACGAACACGAGAACATAACTTTTTGCGTCACATGTTGACGCCTCCGGCGCAGTTGGTCGATTTTCACCTTTGAGAAGTCGTGTAGGCTCACCTTTGCAGTAAAAAACAATCAAAAAGGACAGGAAAAACAGAGCATGAGTAAGCTGCACAGCTGAGTAAAGACCGAGAAACTACATTGCTTGGCCAACCGAACTTGGAATGCGTTACGGTACCATAGTGATGAATTAACGCAAAACAAAACACGTCATTAGAAGTATTGCTTGATCCTTATCATTTGCTAAACTAATAGCACTGATTCAGTCAAAATGACCATTGGTTTAATAAGTGCAAGGCAATTTTTAGATATATATCTCCGTATATTTAAAGACCGAATGCCTGGAAGGTTGATTATGCGCTGTCAAAAGTTGCAACCGCTGCACTTCCGGGATGCGCTGAGAATCTCCAGAGCCGTTGAATAATTCTAGATCGTACACAAATGTTCACTAGGGGCTACAGTAAAAAAAAAAAAGCATGCTTTTATATATCGGTAGCATATCTTATAGTGGAATCGGCACGCCATTGAATTTCTAGCTTCAAGAACTCATTGGACGCTAAATTTCACTGTACTAGAGCTTCACCGAATTTACTTGAAGCTAACATCACTCTGAAGACGCATTCAAACTTCACGGCTACATTTATTAGCGTTTCACCGCTCTGACACCCCGCCGTGCAGCAATGGCGGCCCTAGCGGTTCCTCCTGTCTCTATGTCAAAATTTCGCCGCATGACCAGTAAAATTCTTGAATGACTCTGGTATTACAATGACTATTTGGTGATTTGCCTGAGTGTGAGCACGGAAGAAGAAGATATATCGTTTCCAGTACTGGTTATCCACAGCCAAGACCTTCAAAAAGTGACTTGAACGAAGCCATTCTTGCGAAGACTATAAACACGGGGTAAGAAACGCCAGCGTGGTTTGCAACAGAAATATATATAGCACCAACTACAGCGCAGATTAGTGCCGAAACAATTACCTTTGCTTTAGCTGTAAGCTAATAAACTTTCTGTTAATGTTCGTGGTCGGCATTTCTCTCCCGCAGAGCATGTTTCTTATGGGTGCCCATTTCAACGCACGCTGAGAACGAATCGCACGCAATTTGTTGTTCTGTTGTCTTCGTTCATCAGTTTAAAACTCAACTGTTCAGCTAATTCTCACCAAGACAATAACAGGCGCTGCATTTCTCTTAGGTTGATGTATCTGTCTAGATACGTATGCTTTTTGCCACATAACAGTTCATTCACATCATAATAACAGCACGTTCCAAGAGTAATGCCACTGTTTTTATATAGGTATAGCATATTTTATGCGCAGCACGCTAACTTCACAGCTTATGTCGGTTTATTGTGCGTGTAAACTTACAGTAACGGCGGGAATGGCAACGACCCTTTTTATTATGCCTAAGCCTTTTGCATGCGAAGAACACAGAGACACGCATTTTCCGACCGAAAAGAATGTCATATACCTTCCTCTAATGAAAAACGATTTATGCTGTTTCTGTGATAAACACGGCCGCTGTCCGGACATCTGAGCGCTGTGTATGCTTGGCCTTCATCTCATGGTCTGGCAGCGCAAATGAGGAAAAAAAATCGTTTTTCCGTGATATTTCGCCTGTCAGTTCCAGTGTTTTGTGTGTACGTGCACATGTATTACCTGTCCTTCATACGAGCGTACACTTTAATAATTCGGCGGAGCGTAGTAATAACAAAAGTACCATACGTCGTTCATTTTATGCGTTTTTTAGCTCTCACTAGACGAAATTGAATTCCATTCGAGACTATATATACACAGAGCTATAAGGCAGGCCCTCCAGTGAGACTCAGGTTGGCAACGCAGAGCACGGCGTGGCGAGAGCATTGGTGAGAGAAATCTAGGTACAGTTGAATATCGGCGTCAGGTATTTGCAGAAATGGCTGTCTGTTCTGTCACTAGTTCTATGTAACTGATTGGTTTGGTACATGGCAAAGCATATCAAGGTGCTTCTTACGTTGTGAAACCAATTGCACCAACGAGCAGACACGTTACCAAGCTCGTCGTACATGAAAATCGCCTTTGTAATATGTCCGCAGCCCTCCTCCTCGTGGAGTAATGTATAACCGCCGATTTACAGGCTCTATTTAACAGTTGACTTGGCACTATAGGAATGAATCTAGCGTCCATAATATTCCGTACATCGGTCTCAACGATAGCGAATTTATTTTATTTTATTGACCCTTGTTGCACAGTTCCTTCGGCCTCCAAAATGCCTGTCACGCACTCGGTGGGTTAGTACACAGGTCACATTTCTTACGTACGCCTTTGACTTGCATGCTTGTGCAAAGAACAAAAATGAAACAAAGTCACGTAAATCCAAAAAGGCGGCAGGGACGTGAAGCTGCAAGCTTGCGATGAAAAGAAAAATCTATAAACAGGGGTTGCGGGCTCGAGCCAGTGGCGTAGCCAGTGGGTGGTGCACCATGACCGTGCAACCTTCACCTCCCCCCCCCCCCTCCAAAACTTTTTTTGCCATGACATAAAGAACACCTTCCTGCCCGGTAGACAGCATATCAAGCTGGTGTTCCCCCGCGAAGAAAACTTCTGCCTACGCCGCAATATCAACCCGCCGTTTCGACAAGGGGACTTGCCTGCAAGGCTAGAACCAATTTCCTTGACGTGTACATGATTCTTGCCTTCTCCTTCAACTCCAGGAACGTAGGCTGAAATTTGTGAGAAGGAGGGAAGCACCACTTCATCTGAAGCGGGTTTTGGGCAGGATGATGTCATGTTCCAGTATCATTCTGTGCTCTGCATAGCAGGCAAAAAAAAATATCGCCGCATATCCACGGAGTGAATGATGATTAGTGGGGCAAAGCGCTGGAGGGTTTGATTGATAAACCGTGAATAATCCACGAATATTGCCCACTACAATCATCAAAGACGTGACAAACGATGTATATATTTATACAAGACACTTTAATATTCGTAAGAGATAACGTCGCTTCTGTCCCGCCTTCATTATAACGGCTATAATGGTCGGTGAAGTGGTGGGTCAGTGATGGGGCGTAGTGGGATGTCTGCAGGGAGGAAGTAGTAAGCAGTTTGCAAACGTGGAACTACAGGCGGTCACGTATAAACAAGGGATTAACACAGTGGGACAATCTTTGGTTCTTCAACGCGCACCTGAATACAAGTACTAGACCATTTTGCATTTTATATTGGCTACTTCTCAACAGTATTTGCTTCATGGTCAGGGAAGTGGTAGATCTGTAATGGGGTGTAGTGGGATGTTTGCAAAGATAAAGTAATGGGCAGTTGGCAAAGGTAGAACTATAGGTGGTCACGTACATAGGTACAAGAGATGGACAGAACTAAGCCTTTAGCAGCTTCGCCCCTAAAAGATGTTTCAGGAAGAAGGAGGTAAACAAACTTGATGTACCACCCCCTGGTTACACCAGTCGAATCCGAGCAAAGGAGGGGGGGGGGGCAGCTGTGAATGTGGGACTGTGGTATGGGGGAGGGTGTTTGGAATTAAAAAGAAAAGAAGTGAAGGAAAGGGGTAGTAAGGCATTTCGCAAAATCAGGGCGTTCAGATATACCACTTTAGAATGGTAAGTTTGAAAAACCTAGCAGGACGGCTGAACTCTCATTGATTTTCGTTGTGTATGTGCCACATCGAACAGTTTCAAGAGCCCCTCTAGAAACGTTTTTAACTACTGGCCGGAGTTTATTGAACTTGTGAATAATGTATGACCCTGTATATTTTCCGTCTCTTGCGAACCTGAAGTTTGACTGAAGTATGTAGAGTTCGAGTTGGTCGACGTTGCGCCCTGCTACGTTAAAATGCTGTGCCACTGATTTAGGTAATTTCTTTGCCTTGTCCACGCGATGACCGCTTATATTAACGATAACAAGCTGCCTTGTTTCGCCAATATACCGTTTGGAAGAATATGAAGATTCTATCTGCTGGGTAACGTTTGAACTGCCCAAGGTAAAGCTAGATTTTATTTGACAAACATAATCACTTATGCTGTTTTAACTATATTGTTAATGAAGGTGTTTTCAAGCCTTACATTTGAACTAGAGCAAGGTGTAATGTGGGAATTAGAATGGGAGTTTACTTTTTCATACCCTAACATATCCTTAAGGGATGATGCTACTCTTAAAAGTGATTTTTTAAAATCTTTTTTTCTTATTTAACTTGTTTTCAGAAGTTTCGTTTCTCTAATTTCATGTCAAAAAAATGAAGGTTCTAACTATACTTCTAGTACAGGTAAAATCATTTCTTGAAAAGCACAAGGTTACTATCGAAAACTAAAGAAAGCTCATTGCCTAGAGTGTCATGTAAAATGTCACCTTGCTACTCACCATGGTGTTTCGCATGACGATTTAATCAAAGTAACATGCTAGAGATAACCCTGATTCCCAAGCTCTGATGATGGAAGTCAATTTATAAAAAGCACATCTTTGCCACGACAGATGAGCTTCAACTTTTCTGTTATTGGTGCATTTTTCTCAAGCCGATTTTCGGCAACTTTTTGAGTTCAGACATCATGTTTGTGGTATTTCTGATGTACTGATCTGGATGTGCTTATTCTCACATATTCATTAAGATGTGAAAAGAGCAAATATTTTTTTGAAACCTTATAACGCTGATATATTTAAAGTGAACTTAAAGTAAGCAAATAGAATGGGCCGAGCTTTTTACGACTTTTAACGATCCAAGGTTTTCTTCATTGAAACGCTTTATACACACTTTCTTGTTATTTGCATTCAATTGTTAATGCGGAGCAATATGAGCCATTAATAGCTCAGAGTCATAGACGTTTAGTAGCAGAAGAACTGTGTGCGTAAAGAGCTACATTTTACCCATCGTCATGGTGAAAAAAAAACAACAACTGCGGAACTTACTCAAAAACTGATTGCACATTTGAGTGTATACTCAGTTTGTAAAGAACTGAAATCCACATAAAAGCTTATGTAAACAGCGAAAATTTTGTAGCCATGGCCTACACATAAAATAAACTTTTTTTCCGTGTAGCATCACCCCTTGTAATTCCTGCTGTGGCGACACGAATTTTCGGAATAGGAATTCGCAAATTCCATCAAAGATTTTTAAGCACATGTTAGTGCACACAAAACTGAACGTCCATTCCACTGTGTTCTCGTTACGCGGTATATTCAGCCAAAGCATTCGAGAGACGGAATCACGTGCTGCATTCAATGAATAACCTTCCTGAACATGTAATTTTCATTTTATGATTATATATTTTTTGTTTGGGTGTGGCTGCGTGAACTGCACTTACAGAGAAGGATATTCATTTTTATTTCGATATCGTATTTTTATTCCAAATTTCTTTTTTCATTGCTCGCGGTGTGTTTCTGTAGATAACAATATTAATAATATGAGTGGATTTACGTTCCAAAACCAAGATACGATAACGAGAGAGGCCTTAGCGGAGGGCTCCGTCAATTTTCCCCGTTTGGCGCTCTTTAACGCCCGTGCACTGACAACGCACAGCACACGCGCCTCAACCATTTCGCCTCCATGGAAATGCCGTGGCCGGGTTCAAACCCACGACCATCGGGTCAGCACCTTGAAGCCACCAATCCACCGATGCTGATTGATCGATTCACCTGATATTTACTTTTCATATCACCGGTGAAGGTTCTAGCGTAACCCAGCTTGTCTCGGCAAATAGAAACGCATCACATAGCTCGAGGAGCGCGAGCCACATGTTTTGCTCTTCTAGTTCCTTCGGATAAGGAGAGCTATTTTAGAGATAATTGCTGATTGATTTGTGGGGTCTAACGTCCCAAAACCACCGTATGATTATGACAGACGCCGTAGTGGAGGACTCCGGAAATTTCGACCACCTGGGGTTCTTTGACGTGCACCCAAATCTGAGCACACTGGCCTACAACATTTCCGCCTCCATCGGAAATACAGCCACCGCAGCTGGGATTTCAACCCGCGACCTGCGGGTCAGCAACCGAGTACCTTAGCCACCAGACCACCGCGGCGGGGTGCTATTTTAGAGAGAGGAGCGCTCAACTAGTTGAAGAGCTTCGCTATGAAACTTTGGCGGTACATTTTCATGCCCTAAGACACCACACCCAAACACCCAGTTGGTTGCGAATAAATCATGTCCTACATTGGCAGAAGGTAAACATATCTTTGGTCAGAATGTACTTGTTCGGTAATCGAACAACCACCTCTAACACCGACGAAGAAAAATAGAAATTGAAAGTTTTGTTAGACAAGGGAAGGCTGCAACCCGACATCACCGGGAGCAAACACAGCCCACTTCGCCTCTTCTTCGCCGTTCTCGCATTTCGCTCTCGCAACCACGAGTATTCCGGTGGCTTTTGCAGTGTTTTTATTGTGTTTACACGAAAACACAGCAGTGTGCAATGACGGAGAAGCATGCGATCACAGTAGCAAATCATTAGACATTGTTTAGACAGCAAGACGATTCCAGACGAGAAACTGCTCAAAAATTTTGATTTTCAATTGATTTATTGCGGAACTTTGTTGTGGCGACATGTGTTTCTATAAATAGGACAGACCCGTTTTCTAGTTAGGGTGGCATAAAAACGCTTACACATTTATGACATCATACAACCCATTTCTGGGTCAGTGTTCACTTTATTGTCAGGGACGTTAGTCGTATGAATTTACTCAAGTTGCCCAAATGGCCACACATCAGTCAGCGACAAGTAGACTGTCGTGACACGCTCACAGCTGATAAGATTCGCAGAGCTCAGCAACCTTTTAGGCGGGGGGCGAAGTTGCATGAAGCTGAAGCATCAGGGTGGTATAGGAGGGCTTTACAGGCAAGGAGGAAAAAAAAATTGCCCGCAGCTTCCCTCGGGGGAACACTGAGGAGGATGCGGAGCATATAATTGGTTAACGGGGTGTTAAAGTGCGACTTGCTTGGGTCGATGGCTAAATTGGTTAACGTGGTTGTGAAATGGGGTGTTAAATTGCGACTTACTTGGGTCGATGGCTAAATTGGTTAACGTGGTTGTAGGAGGGGGTGTTAAATGGGTGAACACGTACACACGTATGCGAAAGGGCGGCGCTGGTCGAAGGGACGTCGATCATTGTGTTTGTGGATTCGTTGGAATTCATTTCACCGCGACCTTGGACGTCGACGCGCCGTACAAACCAACCGACGAGCGGCAACTGAGCGAGCGAGCGCCGACCTTGAGTATATATACAGCGCGACGGCGCATGCACTGTCAGCTGTCGAATGTTCGAGAAGGGGGAGAAGCGCAACGGCGCATGCGCGCGCGTCAGCTGCCGATGTTCTCGAAGCGCGACGGCGCATGCGCGCGCGTCAGCTGCCGATGTTCTCGAAGCGTGACGGCGCATGCGCGCTACATTATACAGCTAGCGAATGTTCGTGAAGAGGAGAAGCACACGCGGTGTGTAGAGGAGGAAGGGTGCACAGATGGTGGAGGAGTGAAGCGCGCGCGGTGTGTAGAGGAGGAAGGGATGCACAGATGGTGGAAGAAGGAGGAGGAAGCTTGCGGACGGCGCCGCACTACAAGCCTCGAGTATTAGATGCTCCGCATCTAAAAAATGCCTAATTCACAATAATTTTAAAACTGGGTCACGAATTGTGTTTATCTGCAGCACGCACGTCACAAGTTGCAGCCAAACATAAGATGCAAGATAGAATACTAGTGAAAGTCAAAAGTGACATTTCCATTTTAGGGTAAGAAGTGATATGATGAAACTGAGTATAGGGGTTTGAAGTCGTGTCGGGGTCTGCATAACACTTGTGGCTGACCCCTGTGCCAGGTGATTAAACCGAAACAAGCAGCCAAGGCCACCGCGTCGTCAAGCCGTTGTCAGGTGCGCTGAGTGCAGTCAAGGTCGCTATATAACAATGTCCGGCTCTCGCGTTCAAAGCACTGGACGGTATCAACGTCGAGCAGAGGTCGGCAACCTTTTCTGGCGGAGGGCCACAGTCGACTGTGCGGGGCCGAACGGCAAACATGGGAAGGGGAGAGAGGGCTTCGCATGCTTATAAGAAAATGGGGAAGTGACCATAATGTAAAAAAAAATCGGCAGATCCCTCGTACCTTGGGAATGGACGTTATGCGAAGCATGTGGAGGAAAGGTGGCCATGTAATTTTTTTATTGAGCGATACGTTACGAAATCCCACTTGAATATATGTACAAATGGTGCATGCATAAATTGAACAGTTGCAGATGTTTATATAACCAGCTCTTTGCACTGGCGTATCGATGCCAGGAGGAACATGAGTATTAGCAACGCCAGAAGCGATAAGCTTATGTAAAGCACTGGTGCTCGCGAGGATGGTAGCCCTGGATACAGATACATAAGTCAACTACAGCGTATGACACCTTGCTACAATTGGCTTAGCAAGACGTGAGGGCTGTATCACAGGAGTACACATGTAAAGTTTCTGGAATTAAATAGCCAGCATTGCAATCAAAATTGACGTTTCACGAGCAATAGGGTCTACTTGAAAAAAAAATTGACGAATACCACATACAGTGTGAATCGATGATATGCGAAGCACAAGTAAGAAAGGTTGATATGTCACTTTAAAATCAGCCTAACGCTACGAGGTGGAGGTAAATTATATCGTACATGACCTCAGTGTCATGATTATCATGTTTGAATGTGTCGTTTACCTTCGTCATCTATTTACGTCACGTGATACCAAATTTAGTATACGTGGATCTAGCAAAACGGCCGTAAGCACGCTATTAGCGTGGTATGTTGCCATGTTCTTACATGACACGCGTGTCAGGATTATAATGTTTGCAGCAGTGATATATTTTGTCATCCATTGACCTCACGTAACACCAAATTTTGTGTATGTGGAGCTAGCAAAACGACCGCGAGCGCATCATGAAGGGCCCAATATACTTCAATGTAGCGTTGACGCACATGCACGCTGGGCACAGCAACGCTACGTTAGCAAAACGCGAGCACTCTATAGTCTGACGCCGGGTGCGACCAGCTTGACCAACGTCCGTCGGCGCGGCCCGACGGCGACCGGCGCAAAATACGCGAAGATGCGTTACCCAGACAACAAACACCATGTCTCTCTCTTTTCGTGACGGAGGGATGCCGGACGCGCTGAAACGCGCATGCATCAAAGCAACGCAGCACGACGCACGCCTGCGAGTATATGGCATAACCGGCGCCTGCAGCTGTTGCAACACCGGCGAGCACACGCAAAGCGTCACGTTGAAATGTATTGGCACCTTAACTGTGGCATGCAGTCGTGTTCTTACATGACACGCATCTCATGATGCACCAGTCACATACGTTTGCACCAGTCACATACGTTCGTCATCCATTGACGTCACGTAATATCAAATTTGGCATATGTGAAACAAGCGAAACGGCCGCGAGCGCATCATGATTGTGGCATGTAGTCATGTAGATACGTGACGCGCATGTCGGGATTTCATGTTTGGATGTGTCATTTACCTCTGTCGTCCATTCGCGTCGAGTAATACCGAGTTTGTTCATGTGAAGCTAGCGAAACGGCTGCGAGCGCATGATGAGCCTAGCATGTAGTCATGTTGTTACATGACACGCATCTCATGTTTATCATGTTTACACCAGTCACATACCTTCGTCATTCATTCACGTCCCTTAATACCAAATATGCTATAAGTGAAGCTAGCGAAACGACCACCAGGACATCATGAGCGTGGCATGCAGTCATGTTCTTACATGACACGCATCTAATGATTATTATGTCTGCACAAGTAACATACCTTCGTTATCCATTCTTGTACCATAATACCAAATTGGGTGTATGTGACGCTAATAAACGGCCGCGAGCGCATCATGAGCGTGGCATGTAGTCATGTTGTTACATGACACGCATGTCCTGACTTTCATATTAGGTCTTGTCGCTTGTGTTCGCCATGCAATCATGTCATACCATACCAGTTTTTCAACATGCCATGTGAACTAATCCACCATAAGAGCCGCAGTACCATGAAATGTAATTAAAGACATTCATGACATACATGTCATGATTTTCATGTCATGACTAGCCAAAAAATTGTAGGTTGCTAGAGAGGTAGATACGCTCAAAGTCGCCGACTGAGTTCGCTAAGAAATCCTTCGCATTTAAAAGTACTTCGGAGACCTGGCATGGCTCTGTGGTATAATACTTGATTGTCACGCAGAATGCCTGGATTCGATTCCCGCTTGGATCCTGACATTCTTTCTTTGCATTTGTTGGGTCGACGCTGCCGATGTGAGTTTTTCTTAACGCTTACGCAATTGAATTAGCCATGTATGTTCTCGCCTTTCCTGGGTAGATACTGAGTGTTCATCACCTGTGGCACATACCCGCCCACGAGTATGCACGACTGTTAGGTGGAATGTGTTCGACAACGTACGTGACGGGATTCTTGCATTATTCATGTGGTTCACTCCAAGCTAAGGGGGTGATCGCAAGAGCACCCAGACGTAAGCGGATAGATAGATTCATAGGTATATAGATAGACGCCCGAAGTTCTTGCCCTCCTCGAAGAAAGGCTTCGCTTTAAAAAAAACTGGAATAAAAATCGCGGTTCTTTACGCATAAGGCTGCAGTTTACAAACGCAAGTTCAAAGTGAAATCGACAATCAAACTCTTTGAATTTAATTTGTGGCCTTCGTGCGGGAAGTGCCAAGAGCAGAGGGCTTCCGACATCGTCCGCGGGGGCGCAGGTTGCCGATCCCTGGAGTACCATATCAGCTTTAAATGCGTCGCCTCGACCATTTAGTCGGGCACATGAGCGCATAAGACGGCGTTGCCAACTGTGCCCAAAGAAAAAAAAAGTGGGCAAGTGCACGATGATGTACTGCAGTTTGAAGTAATCACGGGACGAACCTAGCTGTCATAATAAGGGCTGATGACCCAGCACCCAGTAAAAAGGTTTCAACGCTGCTATACAACAGTCATATTCTGCCAATAGAAATTGTTTATATCTGCAAACGTCCAAAAAGTTTGAAAAGCGATGATTAGAACGTTGTTGTATATGAATGATTTTTGTACAAGGAACATTGCTTCCCCTTTGCTTCTCATTGAACATATGTACGACTTCATTTCAGATCTAGCGGACACGAAGCGCGTTCTTGCAATGGACCTCTCGGGCCTGGCTTCCTTTTTCATAGGTACTATTAGCGGTTGCCAGTTTCGGCACGTTCGCAGTGCAATGCTCGTGCAGTGGCACCGCGTTTTTTTTTTGTCTACTAGTAGTAGTAGTAATAGACTTTTATTCAGCCACAATTTACAGGCCGAGCAGTTCGACCGCCTGTGCGACCAGTCGACGCTGTTCTTCTTCCCCTTCGGCGCCGATCCAGTCAAGCCAGGAGGTGATGGAAAGGGATGGGGGAGTGTAATAGCTGGATTGCTGAGCAGTTGGGCAGTAAAACAGGCAGTGTGACAGGTCGGCATATGAGGAGGGGCAATTAGGACAGCAGGGGTTAGACCTATATTTAGAAAGGAAAAGGCGAGAGGGGGTTATCAGGCAATTCATTTGGATGTGCCGTAGAGTTCGAGCCTCGAGCGCAGTGAGTGATAGATGAGAGGGAGGGTAGAGATGCTTGTCGAGGCGGAGCTGGAGATATACCTCCTTGATAGTGTGACGCAAGGAGATCTGCCCATCGTTATTCACGGAGCTCTCACTGTCTTCCGAAGGTGTGGGCCAAGGAAGGTCTACTATATTGTGCTTACATTCTCGCGATAGCAAGCGCAGTCGCTTTGACGTAGCCCCTACCTTAAAGGGGCACTGCAACACTTTTACAAGTAGTCATAGAATGTATTCACTACAGGAGCTTATTGCCTCACAAATTCACCGCCGGAAAAATTTCGAAATCCGTCCGTCGTGAGTGGAGTTACAAAGAATTGTCGCACGCTGCAATTGAATTAACTTCTCTCGTCCAGCCAAAAGCGCTGGAAATTAAGAAGAAAGTAAGAGCATGAGACGAAAAAATGCGTCACGTGCGCCTCGTGACTTTGAGCAGTGTTTTCTTTTTCTTTTTTTTTAGTGCAGGTTTTCAGTGCTATCGCGTGCGCTCGCGTGGACAAGTCGCAGCCTCCTGTGGCGGCCATATAGTAACGACCGAGTGTATCATGCTCAAGTCAGGCAATGACTGATAGAGTGGCTGTGACATTCTTTATTAAGAGTTAAGAAAAAAAAATCCTCGGCCTGCACCATAAACATATAGCAGGCACAAACAATTTTTGAGCTTTTAGCGTCACTTCTTCAGACAAGAGAAAGCAGTTTTTAGTCGGCTTTGACAATTTATTTTGAATTACAGGCCATGTGCTCCGCTGTAACTTTTGCTAACGTGTTCTCAAAAGCCTCCCCTACCAATCAGCAGCGTTTTCTGACCATGCGCAAAAAGTGTTCTAGGAACCCTTTAGCGATTTTATATAAAAATACAAGACAAAGAAATACATAAACCTTCTTTATTAAGCAAGCTCAGTCTTATTTGTCCATGTCAGCTTTTACTTTTTTTCCACGAATTTGCCGTCGCTTTTCCTTTTTTACGTCTCATTCTTTTGCTACGCTGGTCTACCGAGTTAAGTGAATAAAGTAAAGGTATCAGAATAAAATGATGTTTAACTGATTGCGATATTATTTGTGTGCCGTAAACTATTGCTGGAGGCTCTAGCAAAACACCGTGTGACAAATGCCACATCTTTTTAAGCGTAGGCCTTCTCCTTAAAGGCAGCCTTTTTTCGAAGGTTGCTGTTTGTGGCGGTTTAGAGCCTGGTGTGTGTGTCTTTTCTAAAAGTTCCGTCTTTTTTGCGCTGATAAATTCGTCCAAATGATCATGAACCAATTCGCCCAAGCAACAGTTTTACCGGAGGACCGCCTGATATGAAATAATTATTAATAAGAAGGGGGGTGCAAGGCTACCTTGCTTTCAACATAGTGTTTTGTCTTGCTTAAGAACTAATTTTTCATCCGAAAGATCCTTGAAGATTTAAGGGTGTTTCGTTGTCGAAGCACATGTGGCTTATAATACGAAAGTCTATGTTATTCCCAAATAAACTATGACGGACACTACATTGGGTTAAAATTAACGAAATCCTGTATTGTGAAAGAAATCACCAAGTATATACTTCATAAAGAGAAAGTTGTTTTAGCTTCATTAAGTGCAGGCGACAACGCGTTTGTTCATTCACTCTTCTATATATACGCTTAAATGGGGTGAACTCCCATTCATAAGTATGAAACGTCTGATTATAGTTAGAAAGGTAGAGGCTGGTTCCTGGTTTCCTATGCTATAGGTATCAGCACACCGTGAGACGTTATGGTCATGTTCACGTTTTGCTAACCATACTGGAAGAATGACCGCTGACATGAACATAAGGGAAGGATTTATTTGAGGCCCCCAGGAAAAGGAGGGTCTGTGCAAATCACGTTGGACCTCTTCACTGCGACGTCTTTATTCTTATTTGTTGTTACAATGCACCAGGACTGTGTGATGGTCATGTAGTGCCATCATACCTGATTATCCCGCTTAAGTTCAACGTGCATTCGACGACCAATAATTTGTGTTCTATGATGTTCTCACACCATGGCGCTAAAGCACCCGTTTTGCAGTAATACAACGTTGGCAGTGGTAGTGTTGTTGGTTGGCTGAAAAAATCGACCCTGTCCGTAACCGCCAATGTGATATGCATTCCAATGAAGAGATAACAATGTTCGGTTCGATCGAGAGAACATGAAACTCGGGTATATTTCCGTTTCGCCACCAAGCATTCTACCATAGAGCAACGACAATGATTCCATGTCCATCGAAATGAAAACCTTTACGAATGTCGTGCAATGTGACGAGTCTCCTTACAGTATGTCGTGTGGCAGGCAGAAGCGTAGAGTCACACCAGATGCCAAAAAATGCTAATTACGAAAAGAGCGGTTGTTTTCAAGGGGCAGAGCTATGACAAATTTCTAAGGAACATTTATTCATGATTATCAACCGAGTGTTCAGCTGCGCACGTTGCCTTACGGACGTGGGACGGGTACCTCGCCAAGCAATAAAGGAAATATTACGATGTGGTTGGCGCTTTGCAACTGTACGTACTTGCAGGAGGCATTCTGGGATACTTTGAGACGACCAATGTTACGCGAAAAAATGTTCTACTGCGCACGGCGAGGCCAAGCAATGAGAAGACGACGGGTGCGCAACCTGATGACGTTATCCCTCTCAGTGGTGTTGCTAACCTCAAGCATCCTCCAACATTGCCTTATTCAATCATTAGCTTTAAGTGTTGTTAATTAAGTGGCTGTGCATGATAATCTTTTTGATTATCATCATGTCGTTCTGTCACAAAGTTAAAAACCAAAGGAAATTAGAAACGAAAGTGATTAAGTGTCATGCCAATATTTTTAATGCCATGCTCTAGCACACTTCTGCTTTTCCATTTGTTTAGGCATGTCTGCATCGTTAGCATTCTCATAATTCTTACCGCAATATGTGAACGTGGCAATATCTACTTAGTGCTTTATACCGGCGTCACGGGGGCATTTTTAATCGAGAGCAGTGCCGATCCAGATTAACCACGATCCGGATTAGGTGCTGCTACACGGTCACATTTAATCGCTATCAGGCCCGATCAGGATCAAGGCTATCGCGAGCCGCGTATCTCGATCTGGCTGAGAGATCACGGTTCCGTGTCGTCCGCACTCTCTGGCCGAGCTTGTTGAAAGCAAACGAAACAAAAAAATCATGCATACTTCTGTAAAAACATATTTGAAAAGCTAGACATTTATTTATACAACAAACTTTAAACTGTTTCAAATGGAAAAACATCTGTAATATTGGATATTTTACTATGCGTATTTACCGCATGTAGTTATGGGAGAAGCAGATGATAAGCAGACAACAATTTACACTTGCGCACCGTTGGAACAGTTGAAGCACCTCGAAGCAAATTGATTATGAGTGTCGCTAGCTTTTTGACAACGTCACAGTGCAGACGCACTTCGTGGTCAGATGAAGAGACCTTTACAGTAATTGACCGCTGTCAGGAGCAACTGGGAGACTTGAGGTGCCAGAAGTAAAACTCGGGCATGTACAACGAGATTGCCATTACGCGGTCACTGGATGGCTACGAGCGGGTACTATCAGAAATAAAAGTGAAGATTAAGATTGTCGCACAGCAATGAATCTAAGTACAGAGAAAACTTTACCGAATGATGGATTTATAAAATTACTTTTACAGTGGAACGCAAAGTTTTTGACGTTCGAGTGGTTCTTGCACAAATAACATAGTGCTGATGGATGACTCTATTGAAATGTCGTACGCTGTGTTTTGTCAATGACTTGTATTACGGCACGCAAGTGCCACCTTGGTACATTTTGTCTGACCCAAACTCGAACCAGAATAGCTTGGGCCGTGTAGCAGTGGGCGTAATGTTCATCGCGGTGAAGAACATTGATCAGGATCACCCTGATCGCGATTAAAACTGCTCATGTGACACTGGTAGTAGAACCGCTTGCATAAAGCAAGAAACCACGTAAACAATCCCTTTGCCATCCCTGCGTACAGGCCGCGAGAGTCACTGTGCATTGAGGCAAAGCTATATAAGGCGGCGCCTTTTTCGTCGCTGTTAAATTTGCTGAACGCGAAAATCATTCCGATTAGTTACTTCTTTTTGCCCCACAATGATTACGCACTGCCTGCAGAAGGCGGGGGAAAAGCCAAGCTCCGCGAGTTACTGGCATCACGTTTTGATCGCAGAAGAGTTTCTATTACCTAGAAATCTCTTAAAGGGGCCATGGAACACTTTTTTGCCATGGTCAGGAAACACTGCCAATCAGTAATAGAGGCTCCCGACACCACACGAGCCAAATAATATAGCGCAGTACGGGGCCTGGAATTCACAATAAATTATCAAAGTCAGCAAAAAATTGCTTCTCCTTAAATCCTCACGACAAATCACGCAATATACCCAAAAATCATACGTAGTAAGTCCACCTATCAGCGAGTGGCTGATTTGAAATCGCTCGTTACAGAGATCGGCGCGGGAGGCCGCAACTTGTCCACGAGTGTGCACGCGGCCACACTGAGAAAGCCGCGCGTTTGAAGAAAAGAAAAATTAAAAAAGTGCTCAAGGCCAGCAGGCGCACGTGACGTTTTTCTGTGGCCCTGCCATCCCTCCCTGCTTTGCTGCTAGCGCTTTCGTCGGGACGAGAGAAGAGAGAATGCAATAGCAGCATGCGACAATCCTTTGTAGCTTCACTCGCACCGGGCGGATTCTAAAAAGTTTTGCGGCGTTGAATTCATGAAGCAATAATCTCTTCCAGTGAATTCATTCCATGGTGACTTGAAAAAGTGTTTCGGAGCCCCTTTAATGATGCGTTTTCCTTCCGAAATGATATTGGTCCTATTTTGAAGTGAGTTCCAACACACAAGGCAAGGAATATATTGCAGCAAGGTGGCAAGTTGGGCTAGTTGGATAACGTTCATGATTGAATTTTTTTCCCCTCTTCTGTCTTCTTCTGACCATCTGTCTTCCGTGCGCTTCAACAAAGATTTTCAATTTACAAGGCAAGAAGCTGAATTTCATGCACAACTAAGGTATAGGTAACCTCCACCACTCTAAAATTTCATAGGATATTATAAGACCACCTGGCCAATGCTTCAGAGTGGGCATGAGCCACGCAAAAAAAGCAAACATGTTATATTCTCAGTCTCACCACTCGTTTCATGGCCCCAAGGTGCCAGGTTAAAAGGGTCAACCAAGCAATAAACTCTGCAAAATTGTGCAACGTTAAGCGCTACCGAAATTGAAGAAAGACTGTGTTTGCAGAGAATTATTTCTTACTTGGTGATACCGTGCTTATGTACACCAGAAAACTAGTTCGGAGCAAATATTTTAGGAGAAAGTACCTACAAATCTTTACAAATTACTACTTTGTTTTGTACGAATCGTAAGGTTTAGGCAGTAACTGACTTTGTTCGTTTTTTCTATATTGCAGCGCTCATCGTGGTGGCGTCTAACACAGCAGAGGCAACCCAGTTGTACTGTGGTGTCGCAGGATGGGAAGATTTTTGCAACGGAAAGAAATGAGCCATGCTGCATCTCCTATTCTTCCCATAAAACTACAGTTAATATCGCAGCCACCTGAGCCTTTCCAAGTTGGCTGCAGGGTCGAAAGCAACTTTGTAATTACATAAGGACCTAAAAAATTATCTGTGCAGTAGAGCGCAACTGATATCCGGAGTTTTATCACACCATGTGGCTTTCATATTAAACCACAGTAAAACGTTTTCACAGTTGAAGCCTCCTCTTCCACACCCCGCCACCACCACACACTCATACACAAATGAGTAGGCTCCTGTAAAGGTAACAAAATAGTTCGAAAGTAATTTCCAGAGGTCGCAGTCAGTGTGCGCCATCTAAACTTGAAAGTTCGAACGAAAATTTCAGCGTTTTAATAAAGTTTCCCGCTGAAAACAATATTGTGCTGCAATATTTTTGTGGGCTTCGTAATATGGCTGGAGTCATAATTTAGCAATGAAAACTGTAGGAGAACTCTTCAATGATTCAACACGCACGGTGAAAATGTAAATGCGGGGTAGGATAAATATGCCAGACTCAGTGTTGATGCTGCACACTCTTTAGAGAGAACAATTGTTCACGGATGGCAACAAGACGTCAGAGTATGTGGAAGAGTTCGCCTACTGAGTAATTTATCAATGGGGCGGTATACACATGTTGAGGATATATTTCATGAGAACTCGGATATAGGCTGAAGCGCATACGGCCAACATCTTCAGGTCAGGTCAAGTTAAGTACCCTGTCTAAAGCGGAAAATGTGAATTGATTTCAATTCATCTGTGCAAAAACTTGAGAGTATAACAGGGAAACTCCGATAACTATACAGCATTTAAAGAACAGAGTCGTAAAAGTAGGAAGTCAGCAAAGTGCATAACTGGTTCAGAGTAGCCAATATTCATAGTTAACTCGAAGGAAACAAATCGACATGGACGAGTTACGTGAAGCGTAGGAGAGATAGCCAATTTTAAGTTAGAGCCACTCATTGCATAATAGGACATCAATAACGCAGCAAAGGATGGTTGAGGGGACAGAATGTTCTGATGCCATACGATTCGGCTCCATCATGCTTCGGTTCTAAAATCTTCTGCTGCTGCGTCTGCTGTGTCTAAAATCTTCGTGAAAAAAGTTGCGACGACATGCTATGCAGGAAATGTTTCAACAGTTGGCAAGAACAATCACATTCAGCTCAGAGATAGCCAGTTATTTCTTGTCTGTGGGAAAGACCTTAACACAGGAGGTTAAAGGGGCGTGCACAAACAACAAATAAAACTTGAACTGTGCCTTCAAAAGTACAAAGCGATAGCGTTGTCGGGCTCATTCGCAGTTTTTTCTCAATCGCTTGCATGCCTTATGATCCGATGCCGAAATTTCTGTGAAACGAGCCCTGCAGTTCTATCGCACTGAAACTAAACCTCGAAGAACAATGAATATACTGGCTGTATTGCCACGTATATTAATACGAAAAAAAAGTATTGAACCAGCTCAACAACGTTCCCGACAGCTCTAAAGGACCTGTTTTTTTTTTCTCCATGGAAGAAAGTAAGGGTCCATTGTGCACTCACGTAAAACGACTGGAAGGCGCAAGCCTTATTCTTTCTCTTCCAAATGATGGATTCATCCCGCTCCTCTACTTTCCAGTAGGTTTCTGCATCTAAAGTGGTTTTGCATGGTCACGATCATCCCATCCTTGACCAAGCTACTATGTCACGCAATAACATCGTTATGTGACGTTACATCCAGTGACAGCATGATAACGTCACAAATTTTGGTGATGAGTGACGCCGGAATAACGTCCTCATGGGGTGATGATTTTTTGCACCACACGCGCTGACGCCGCCGTTACGAAACAACTGTCAATTTCCGAATTTTATGAATCATCCATGGTTTTGAACACGAAAGTGTTTTACACCTGTGCTCACCAATGCTTCAATGACGTATTTCTGTCATGGAAATGACGCTAAAAACTATGTACAATCAGAAGACAAAAGAAAAAGTTTCGTCATCGGGAGTTGAATCCTTGACCTGTGTATTCACGGCAACAGTTGTCGGAAACGCTATTCAATATACACCGAACCCTTAAAGAATACGCCTTTTATATCGACCACAGTCTTCTCAGCGTTATTTGTAAAGTGCAGTAATGCACCATGACTGTGGAATTCATCATTAATTCCTTCAACGCGTCGTCTTTAAGCGTCCGTCTCATTCGGTGCGTCTCTGATGGATATACGAGCGATTTTGTCAATGCCAAACACACTCCCAGCTGGCGATCCTATACCCCAAACGTCACAGTCGCTCATAGCATTCATCCGTACTAAAATAATTCTAACGCATAGAGGAACAACGCACCTGCTTCATCTGAATGTACCAGCTACACGTTCACCACTTACGCTGGCCCCACACACAAAAAAAAAAAGCCACAGCATATCCACGGAGTGCATGCATGATGATGAGTGTGGCGAAGCGTCCATCCATCCGTTCGTTCTTGGTTCCGTACGTCCGTGCATGCGTCCATGCGTCCGTCCGTGCGTCTGTCCGTGCATCCGTGCATCCGTGCGTCCGTCTTTGCGTCCATCCGTGTGTCCGTTCATGCATGCGTCCGTTCGTCCGTCCTTTTGTGCTTCCGTCCATGCATCTGTCTGTCTGTCCGTCCGTTCGTCCAGTGAACACTTCAAGTACCGCAATCTCGGATCTTTTCATCACATATTCAGCATATAGAAGTGCTACCAAACAGCGGACATTCCTAGGACTAAAACAAGAAGTGGCACTCACGCACTTTCACGGCCTGCGTTTCGTGTCTGCTTCCCACCTTTCACCACCTCTAGTTCATGGCTATATATTAGTTCACTATATTCATGGCACTGCGGCCCTACCCTCGCTAGCCCCGCCACTGTGGTCTAGTGGCTATAGTACTCGGCTGCTGACCCGCAGGTCGCGGGATTGAATCCCAGCTGCGGCAGCTGCATTTCCGGTGGAGGCGGAAATGTTGTAGGCCCGTGTGCTCAGATTTGGGTGCACGTTAAAGAACCACAGGTGGTCAAAATTTCCGGAGACTTCCGCTACGGCGTCTCTCATAATCATATGGTGGTTTTGCGACGTTAAACCCCACATATCCATCATTCAACCAAACCTCGCTAAACCTTGCTGAAACGAAAGAGGTTACGCCCAGCGAGTTTAACGTGGCAACCATTTCTGGTCAGATACTGCTCGAAGTGCGTCCTTCTGATACTAGTTTTTTTTTTTTTTAGTAAGCGTGAAATTCAAGGCAAAATGTATTGGAGATTGCGTCACCAATACTTGGCTCTGTGAGCTATTTCGTCATAAACAACTGTTTTTTTATTTGTAATTAACGTGCGTGTGTTTTCTCCTCATTTGAAAAGGGTGCGCACATGCCACTCCACTAGTGCGGCCACGGAGGTGGCTACTAAGATACAAGATACTTCGATCGTGGGCGAAGCGTTAATCACTGACCGAGCTCCGCTTTTCAGACTGATACTAATGCTCAGTACTAAGCCACTAAAACAAAACTAAGGACAGTGACATAATTTCATCTTTTTGTCTGGCTCCACCACTGAGGGCACACAACGAGTTGCCCAAGTCCCTTTCGGTGGAGCAGGGCAACGTGACAGTGTTTTGTTTCTCGTTTTTTTATTTTTTAATTGTGTCTGCGCTTTTACACTGACCCTTATCCTTTTTTATGCGCCACATATACCCTAATGCGTACCGCGATGACCACACAGTTTTTGATGCCACTCTCTTGTGTTGACCTATAGCACCGCCGGTGCTGATTCGGCTTCTAATAGGACAAGCACTCATCTATATCATTTTACATCTTGGCGTACCATGCGGCTTTCTTCATACTGTTTCTATTCAAAAAGCTTTAGAAATTATATTATGAATGTTAGTACAAGTGCTTTCTCAGTTGTCCTCCTCTTGTATCCCACACACCACCTACTGCTCTGAACTATTTTTTTTTGGTCTCGTGAATGCAATGTGCTTCTAAAAATGGAAAGGGCAGCTAAAATAAGTTCTGTCTTATCTTTACCTTTAATTGTCTGCTTTAATTTTGCTCTTACTTACTCATTCATATTCCCTTGAGTTTACTGTTCTGCCAAGGTGATTTAGAAATTTTGTCAATACCTGGGCGTGCGTTGAGCACACAGCAGCAAACAGTTTGCTTGCTACTTGGTGAAATATCCTAATTGAGTATGCATCGTAATATTGAGATTAATTTTTGCCAGTGACTGCTGTTTTCTTCATAGTCATTCATGCCTGAGTGACACAAAATATGTCTGAGGCGTTTCTGAGGTGCAAATGTTCTCTCACTCCAGAAAATTGATTGCACGTTATTGAGTCAATTGATAACGAATAATTCACGCCAGCAGATAAGACGTTTTTTTTTTATATTCTGACGTAAAGATTCGTTATCTGTATACTCACTAACGTGCAATCAATGTTAGTAATAGAAAAATAACAGCCGGTTTATGCGCTCAACGTATACGCCTCCATCACAATGTTCCTCAAAAATGGCGCTACCAGCGTTGTTGCTGCTCTAAGCCAGTGATTTAGTGTTGCAAAATGCCCCGCCGCCGTGGTCTAGTGCCTCAGGTACTCGGCTCTTGCACTGCCTACAGGTCACGGGATGGAATCCCGGCTACGGCTGCTGCATTTCTGATAGAGGTGAAAATGCTGCAGGCCTGTGTTCTCACATTTGGTTGCATGTTTAGGAACCCGAAATGGCCAAAATTTCCGGAGCCCTCCACTGCGGCGTCTCATGATCACGTGATGGTTTGGGGACTTGAAACCCCATGTGCCAATAATTCGTATTACAAAACGGTCTTTAAAGCTGTAATAACGCGATGGACGAAATCGTGATTTGACTCCGGGGATTTTGTACTACGTTACCGTACGTCACCCATTCCCACGTCCCCGCTTCGTTCCGCGCAGAGTGATTCATGAAAGGGTGGAAGCCGAAATCACAGTTGCTATACTTGGGAATCAACGCCGAAATCCTCCTTTGCCGCAAAAACTCTCCCCTGTCGTGAGAATGCTGGCTGTGGGTGGATCGAAATAACGTCCCGTGTCACATCACTGATTCGTCTGTGATCATGTCCGTCATGTGAATCTACCTTTATGGACAAGCTGAAACTTCACACCGGTATTTGCCAGTGCCATCTGGTAGTTTTATTTCAAAGAGTTAAGCGCTAGCCGGCGCGTTCAACGC